AAGGCAGACGCTTAACGACTGAGCCACCCAGGCGCCCCTCAGTCATCCTTAAAGAATGGCAGGGAACCAGTTCATAAAGTGTGAAGCATTTATCCTGCCTTTCCTATCTGACCTGTACCCATAGGGAGCCAAATATTAATGAAGGGAATTGCTCCTGTCTAGATTATTCTATATAATACATAACAAAGAAATGAATACAGAATCACCATTTTGTAATGTCCAGTGAATTAAAAGAGGCATAAGGGGCACCTGGGTAGCTCAGTTGGTTAAGCGACTGCCTTCGGCTCAGGTCATGATCCTGGAGTCCTGGGATCGAGTCCCACATCAGGCTCCCTGCTCAGCAGGGAGTCTGCTTCTCCCTCTGACCCTCCTCCCTCTCATGCTCTCTGTCTCTCATTCTCTCTCTTGCAAATAAATAAAAATCTTTAAAAAATAAATAAAAGAGGCATAAGAACATAAAAAGACAACCTGACATCATTTGCCTCCCAGTGAAAGAATACTGCCTGTAGTCTTAACAAAGGGGTCAGACTTGAGTCTGATCCAGTCTGGGATCCAGCTGACAATTTTCAGGAATTCAGAAGAATTCAGAGGTCTGAGTATGAAATAGCAAATCAGCCTGAGAGTCTGTAGGTCAGATGACTGGTCTTTCTTCAACAAAAACATTGTAAGGAAAAAAAAGATCAGAAGGGGAATCTATAAATAAGGAGATCTAGAAAAGATTTAAAAAAAAAGAAAGAAAAACGTTTATGGCAAGACTAAACTATAGTATCTAGGGATGCATATTTGGGTGACAAAACTAAAGAGAAAAAAAAGGAAGAAATCAGAAGTCAGGAAGATATTACCGAGGAGGAAGGGCTATGATTCAGGTGAGACATAATGACAGGGCTTCTTGGGTAAATGGCAATTTGATATCTTGAACTGGTAGTGGTTACAAGAGTGCTTTAGAGTAACTCGTTAAACTTTGCTTGTTTTTCTGAATCTGTGCCTCTCTTCATATTTTTTAAAATGTTCTTAAATTCCTGGGAGTCCCTAACTCCTACTTTAAATATGTATTGCTGAAAAATACATGCACTGTTAGGACTCCTTGAAGGAGCATTATGGGGGCTAATCCCTAATTCATCAAAACAGCTGTCCTACATAATCCTGTCCTGAGAATTGGAGGGGAAATACACTGCAGCTTTGGGTCTGCAGAAGCAGTGCTCTGTTGCAAGGCAAAAGGGCAGTCATCCCAATCCCCCTCTTTACAGATTGGCTGCAATGCTGTCAGTTGGGCCCCTGCTGTTGTACCTGGAAGCCTCATAGACCAGCCATCGGGGCAGAAGCCCAACTACATCAAGAAGTTTGCATCGGGCGGCTGTGACAACCTCATCAAACTGTGGAAGTAAGTGGGGTTGGTGGACTTACCCTCAAGGGGACACTTCTTACCTTCTACCCTCCTACCTGCTATGACTCAGCCACAGTTCCCAAGAAACAGGATCACCTTCTTTTGCCCTCCTGCCCATAGAATACTGTTTTCAGTCTGTCAGAGGACATCCTTTAAAAACAACTTGGCCTTGCTCAAGGACTTTAATTCTTTACCTACTTCCCAACTGCCGGAGCCGTTGGCTGTGGGGGAACATTTCTTGGAGGATTCCTTTATAGCTGGTGAACTGAGTAAAAATCTACAAGGTCAACGAATGAAATCAGAAAGATGGAATAGCTTCTTGGCCCCTGCAGAGCCCACAGGGTGGGGGTACGATGGAGGCGTGGGAAACACACCTGGGCTGCTACCTCCTGCTGCATTCTCCCTCTCATCTCCCGTTAGGGAGGAGGAGGACGGCCAGTGGAAGGAGGAACAGAAGCTAGAAGCGCACAGTGACTGGGTTCGAGATGTGGCCTGGGCCCCCTCCATTGGCCTGCCCACCAGCACCATCGCCAGTTGCTCCCAGGTCAGCTCAGATCCATGAGAGCCTCCCGTGTTGTTTAATCTCTGAGTAAGTCCCATCAAACCTTCCGGTCCCCCTAAGGTAAAGTCTAAAAAGGTAAGGGCAGGGCAACAGGCACCTTTGGACCAGTGCAAGTAGGAGAGTGCTTGGAGCCAGGTCATGCTATGGCAAAGGCTTGATCAGAAAGCACAAGTGGCTTGCTTCCACCGAGCCATGAGCTAGGCCAAACCCTGGACCAGTGTCCCCTCCTCAGCATTGTGCAGCTGGGGATTAGAGCTGCCCAGGTATATTCTGAAAGCATTCCCAAGCAGGGACCAGGGGCAGTCGGAAGTTCTAGGATCTTGGACTCACCTACCTTTTCAGTCTTCACAGACAGATTACAAAGGAAAGACTAAGGACAACCCTTTAAATTATATGCCAACCCCACCATAGACAAAGGTTAGCCAGGCTTCATTTGAGCCTGTTATGTTTGGTCCTGAATTTGAGATGGACTTTTTCAACTTGTCCCTTCTCATTCTCTAGCTTGGTTTACAGACAGCCATACCCATTCGGTTGAGAAAATTAGAGCCAGAGGGAGCCAAAACAAGGAAGTAACTTGGCAGACATGAGGAGAACCCAGAGAAAATTTTAGAGTTAGCAATGTAAAGTCCATACCTGAAACCAATATGAGCACGAGAACCTGGGAGACTGAACCAATGTGAAATGTGTTCGTGGGGTAAAGGGATAATGCTGGGTTGGAAATCGGCCGTCACAGGTATCCACACCCAGGAAGGCCTCGGCTATGCGTTGTGCTGAATCCCCCACCCCATTCCTGCCGAAGTCCAATATGCCTATAGATCGAGAGGATATCCCCAGTTCAAGATCCCTGCCTTACCTTCCCTGATTCTAGCCTGTCTTTTCCCAGGATGGTCGTGTGTTCATCTGGACTTGTGATGACACCTCAGGCAATACGTGGTCACCCAAACTATTGCACAAGTTCAGTGATGTTGTGTGGCATGTGAGCTGGTCCATCACAGCCAACATCCTGGCTGTCTCAGGCGGAGACAATAAGGTACACTCCATTTCCATGACATGGTGGACAGGGTCCTGTTTGTCTTTAATGTGCCCACTGGAAAGTGCAGTTGGATTCTCCATGTGATGACAGGCTTGGAAGGAGCCTTAATGAGGACTGTGTTTTGAGCACATCTCTTAATTACATCACTAAATCTTACAACCCCCCACCCCCCACCCCCCGCCCCGAGGTTGTTTTTCCCCCCTTTACAAATATGAAAGAAGCTGACAGTGGTAGTTAGGCTTGCATAGGGTCACAAAGCTCTTAGGTGGCAGAGTCAGTAATCAGGCTTGAGTTAACTCTAAAGACACTGACTGCCCTGGTAGTCTGTTGCCTTAACCATTTGACCACCTTCTCTTCATGGTGACATTCAATTAGCACTGCTTAAAATGTTATAGATTAAAAAAAAAAAAAAATCTCACACAAAAGCAAAAAGATTGGAAGGTTTTTGTCAGACACCTAAGAGGCATATTTCTAAAAATCAGTGTAATTCATGGGTGTTATTATTCACCCACTATACCTCTTCCTACTGTGCTATGAGCCGTACAAAGGAAGGGACATGGAGACAAAGAGTAGCTCAGAACAATATAGCAACAAAGCGAATGCACTTGAAAAATCCTGACTACTGCACTGAAACCCACCATATAAAGTTATGGATCCTCTGCCTGAGAGAAGAGGTCAGCTAGGGAGATGGCAGTGGCTTATTACTTCTTCCTTTCTGGAGGCAGCTTTCTTTTTTAATCATGACAGAGTACATAGTTCACCCATCTAAACCATTTTTAAGTGTACAGTTCAGTAGTTTTGAGTACATTCACATTATTGGGCAACCGTCACCACCATGCACCTCTGGAACTGTTTTCATCTTTCCCAGATGAAACTCCCTCCTCACTGAACACTAACTCCTACTCACCCCAGCCCCCCAGCCCTGAGCACTGTCCCACTTCCCGTCTTTGTGAATTTGACTGCTCTAGGGACTCAATGTAAGTGGAATCCTGTAGTGTCCTCATCTATGTTGTACCATGTGTCCATTTCTTTCCTTTTTAAGATTGAATAATACTCTGTTCTACCACATTTTATTTATCCACACATACATTGATGGACACTGGGGTGCTTCCACCTTTGGGTGTTGTCAGTAATGCTGTGCACATGGGTTTATAAATAATACCTCTTTGAGACCCTCTGTAGTTTTTATCCAGCCAGGGGTCCCTTTCATGTGTAGTAGTCCCAGAAAGATCTAGTAGGCCCCATCTCAAAGCTATAGAATTTTAGAGCTGGAATGACCCTAAAGAAAACTAATCTAATCCTCTTTATTCTAGTAAGTGCCAGAGACAGGACTAGACCCCAGGTTTGGTGGCACCCAGGACAGGCCAACAGACCCTGACTTGACTGAGGAGCCCCACCATAGTGTTTACAAGGCAGTAGGCAAGTGCCTGGTTGGACATTCCACTTTTGTAGTCTGTCATTATTCTTTTATGCTTCTTCTTCTTCTTTATCATCTTCTTTATCAGCCTGTTTCCTACAAACAGCTCAACTCTATTGCTGTCTGCATAGTATTCCTTCACTACAGGACTTAGTATGTTCTCAGTCTAGAGCATTCTGCACAGTGCATGTGTAGTAGATAGTCTGTCTCTAAAGCAGGAATTCTTAAAATCATTTTTTTTTTATCAAATACATGTACATATCTTGAGGTAGTTTTTATTAGGTTATGATTTTTTAATGCTTTCTCCTAATTTTCATTCTCCAGGAACAAACCTTTTCAATGCTTAGCTGTTTCTTCTGCTGTTTACTTCAGTGTAGAAATAACATACTTACTCATCTGTCATCTGCCTCTAGCACACTTCTCAGACTTTAGTACTAAACTTGTTAAGACATGTATTGCCAAGCCCACCCCCAGAGCTTCTCAGTCAGTGCGTCTGGGCGAGGACCCAAGAATTTGCAGTTTTCCCAAGCTCCTGGTCGCTGCAGATGCCCTGGTCTAGAGACCATGCTTTGAGAACCACTGTTCTCTTCCCCTGTATCGCCTCACAGAAGCTACAGCAACTTGGTTAAAACAACATCCATTGTTGTTATCTATTAGTAGTAGTAGTATTACAACTATTACTGTTATTTCATGTTATAGCATTATTATTTACAGCATTGCCCCCCTCTCTGTTTTTCTTATTTTTTGAGGTGTTCTTTTTCCAGTTTTATTGAAATATAATAGACCTACATCAAAAGTTTAAAGTGTATAGCATAATGGTTTGACTTACATGTACTGTGATCAGCACAGTAAGTGTAGCATCCATCATTTCATATAGATACAATAAAGAAAAAGGGAAAAAGAAAAGCTTTTCCTTGTGATGAGAACACTTGGGATTTAGTCCCTTAACAGTTTGCACATAGACCATTTAGTCTCTCACAGTTTTCACAGAGACAGTGTGACTATGGTCATCATTACATCCCTAGTACTTCTATGTCTTACAACTGCAAGTGTATACTTTTTGACCCTCAACTCCCAACTCTGGTAACCACAAATCTGAACTCTTCTGTGACTGGTTTTGGGTCTTTTATGGGTGTTTTTAGGTTTGTTTTTAGATTCAACATATATAAGTGGGATCATACAGTGTTAGTCTTTCTTTCACTTATCATAATGCCCTCAAAGTCCACCCACATTGTCACAAATGACAGAATTTCCTTACTTTTTTTATGGCTGAATAATATTCCATTGTATATATATATGTACCATGACTTCTTTATCCATTCATCTGTCAGTAGACACTTAGGTTGTTTCCATGTCTTGGCTATTGTAAATAATGCTACAGTGAATTGGAGTGCAGATACTTTTCAAGATAGTGTTTTCATTTTCTTCAGATAAATACCCAGAAGTCAAACTGCTGGACCATATAGTTCTATTTTTAATTTTGTTGAGGATCCTCCGTACTGTTTTCCATAGCAGCTGTACCAGTTTACAATCCCACCAAGCATGAGCAAGGGGTTCTCTCCTTGCCAGTACTTGTTTTTGTCTTTTTGATGATGGCCATTCTAACGTGTGAGGTGCTATCTTACTGTGATTTCGATTTGCATTTCCCCAGTGATGAGTTATGTTGAGCACCTTTTCATGTACCTACTGGCCTTTGTAGATCTTTTTTGGAGAAATGGTCTATTCAGGTCTTTTGCCCATTTTCTAATTCGATTATTTGGCTTTCTGGTATTGAGTTTTAGGAATTCTTTTGATATTTGGATATTAACTCCTTATCTGATGTATGACTTGCAAATACTTATTCCCAGTCTGTAGGTTGTCTTTTCACATTGTTGATTGTTTTGCTGTGCAGAAACTTTTTAGTTTAATACTGTCCCACTTGTTTATACTTTGTTGCTTATGTTTTAGGTGTCACATCCAAAAAATCATTGCCAGTACCCATGCCAAAGAGCTTGTTTCTTACATTTTCTCCTAGGAGTTTTATGGTTTCAGGTCTTATATTTAAGTTTTAATCTATTTCAAGTTAATTTTTGTGAGTGGTATAAGATAAGGGTCTAGTTTTATTCTTTACATGCGAATATCCAGTTTATCCACCACCATTTATTAAAGAGACTGTCCTTTCTCCGTTGAGTATTCTTGGCTCCCTTGCCAGTTATTAGTTAACCATATATGCTTGGGCTTATTTCTGGGCTTTTGATTCTGTTCCATTTATCTATTTGTTCTCATACCAGTACCATACTGTTTTGATTACTATAGCTTTGTAGCTTAAAATCAAAAAGTATGATGCCTCCCACTTTGTTCTTTCTCAGGGTTGCTTTGGACATTTGGGGTCTTTCGTGGTTCCATATAAATGTTAGGATGCTTTTTTTTCTACTTTTGTAAAAAATGCCATTGGAATCTTGATAGGAATTGCATTGAATCTATAGATGGCTTTTCGTAGTATTGACATTTTAACAATGTTGGTTCTTCTAATCTATGAACAAGATACCTTTCCAGGGGCGCCTGGGTGGCTCAGATGGTTAAGCGTCTGCCTTCAGCTCAGGTCATGATCCCGGGGTCCTGGGATCGAGCCCCACATCGGGCTCCTGGCTCAGCGAGGAGCCTGCTTCTCCCTCTGCCTCTGCCTCTCTCCCTGCTCATGCTTTCTCTCTCTCTCTGTATCTCTGTGTCTCAAATGAATAAATAAAATCTTAAAAAAAAAAAAAAAAGATACCTTTCCATTTATTTGTGCCTTCAGTTTCTTTCATCCCTGTCTTGTAGTTTTCAGAGTAGAGATCTTTCACCTCTTTGGTTAAGTTCATTCATAAGTATTTTATCGTTTTTGATGCTATTGTAAGGATCATTTTTTTTAGATAATTTGTTCTTAGTGTATAGAAACGCTACTGATTTTTGTATGTTACTTTTGTGTCCTGCACCTTTAATGAATTCATTATTTAGATCTAAGTTTTTTGATGAAATCTTTAGGATTTTCTGTATATAAAATCTTGACATATAAAATAGAGACATTTTAGTTTTTCCTTACCAGTTCTGATGTCTTTTTTTTTTTCTTGCCTGACTGCTCTGGCAAGGACTTCCAGTACTGTGTTGAAAAGTATTATATTAGCTGTGGGCTTAGCATATATGCCTTTAGGAGTTACCACAAACAGATGTTATATGTTGTCAAATGCTTTCTCTGCATCTACTGAGTGATAGGATTCTTCTTTCATTCTATTGTGAGGTATCACATTGACTGATTCGCATATATTGAATTATCCTTGCATTCCATGATCCTGATTGATCATGTCAAGTGATCCTTTAAATATACTGTCAAATTCAGTTTGCATCTATATTCATCAGAGTTATTTGTCCATAGTTTTCTGTTCTGGTAATATCCTTTTCTGGCTTTGGTATCGGGGCAATGTTAGCCTCATATAATGAGTGTGTGGGTGTGTTTCTTTTTTATTTTTTTGGAAGATTTTGAGGCTTGATATTAATTCCTTAAATGTTTGTTAAATTCACCAGTGAAGCCATCTGGTCCTGGGCTTTTTTACACTAGGAGATTTTTGATTATTGGTTCATTCTATTTCAGAAAATTTTTTAATTTTTTATTCAGATTTTTTCTTCCTGATTCAGTACTTGGTGATTGATGTTCTAGGTTTCTGAAAATTTGTTCATTTTTTCTAGGTCCAGTTTGTTGACACAGTTGTTTCGTGGTAACATCTTACTTTATTGCTGTGATTATCATTTGGAATGTCTCCTTTTTCATTTATAATTTTGTTTTGGGTACTCTTTTTTTCTTTGGTTAATTTAGCTAAAGTTGTGTCAGTTTTATCTTGTCAAAGAGCCAACTCTTAATTAATCTTTTCTATTTTCCTGTTCTCTGTTTCATTTATTTCTGCTGTGATATTTATTTCCTTCCTTCTGCTAGCTTTGGGTGAAGTTTGTTCTTTTTCTAATTCCTTAAGGCATAGGATTAGGTTATTTATTTGGGATAGGTCTTGCTTCTTAATGTAGGCATTTACTGCTATAAACTTCCCTTTAAGAACTGCTTTTGCTGCATCCTGTAAGTTTTGGTATATTGGGTTTCTATTTTTGTTTCAAAATAATTTATTTCATTTCTTCTTTGATCCATTGGTTGTTCAAGAGAGTAATTTGCGTGTATTTGTGAATTTCTTAGTTTCCTCTTCCTATTGATTTCTAGTTTCATACCATTATGGTTAGAGAAGATACTTGGTTTGATTTCAGTGTTTAATTTGCTAAGACTTGTTTTGGGTGTAACATATAGAAAATGTTTCATATGCACTTAATGTATATTCTGCTATCAGAAGGTTCTGCATATGTTAGGCCCATTTGGTCTATACTGTTGTTCAAATCCACTGTTTCCTTATTATCTGTCTGGATGATCCATCCATTGCTGAGAGTATTCAAGTCCCCAACTATTTTTGTATTACGCTTTCTCTGTTTAGTTGTTAGTTTTTTATTTGTAGTTAGAACTGTTATATCTTCTTGATATGTTGATGCCTTTCTCTTTTTTTTTTTTTTTAAAGATTTTATTTATTTTTGAGAGAGAGAGCACAAGTAGGGTGAAGGGCAGAGGGAGAAGCAGACTCCCCGCTGAGCAGGGAGCCTGATGCGGGACTCGATCCCAGAACTCCGGGATCATGACCTGAGCTGAAGGCAGACACTTAACCGACTGAGCCTCCCAGGTGCACGGCCCCTTTTGTCTCTTTACTATTTTTAAAGTCTATTTTGTGTGATATAAGTATAGCTACCCCTGCTTTCCTTGTGATTACCATTTGCTTGAAATATCTTTTCCTATCCTTTCTTAGTGTCTGTCTTGAAGGCTAACTGAATCTCTTGTGTGAAGCATAGTGTTGGATCTTGGTTTTTGTATTCATTCAGCCATTTGTTGTCTTGATTGGAGACTTTAATCCATTTACATTTGAAGTAATTATTAATAAGTTAAGGCCTTACATAATTGCTATTTTATCATTGCTTTCTGTTTTGTTGATCCATTGTTGTTTCTTGTTCTTTTTTTGTGTTTTGATTTCTAATAGTATCAGTATGCTTTGACTTGTAGCTTTTGTCTGATTACTACAGGCTTTTCCCGTGTGGCTATAAGACTTACATAAAACATCTTAACTTCAGTAGAATTCCTAATCTTTACACTTTTACTTTTCCTCACCCTTACATTTTAGGTTAGTGATGTTACAATTTACATATTTTATAATGTATAACTAATAACAGTAGGTATGATTATTTTTTACTACATGTTTTAACTTGTAAAGGAGTTATAAGTGAATTACACACCACTGTCATATTACAGAATCCAACTTTAACTATGTATTATCATTACCAGTGAGTTTTATGCTGCCTTATATAATGTTAATAAGCAACCTTTTATTTCTACTCAAAGAACTCCCTTTAGCATTTCTTGTAAGGCAGGTGTAGCTGTGATGAGTTCCTTCAGCTTTTGTTTATTCAAGAAAGTCCATCTCCTCTTCATTTCTGAAGGACACTTTTGCCTGCTGTAGTATTCTTGGTTAACAGGTTTTTTTTCTTTCAGTATTTTGAATGTGTCATCCCATTTTCTTCTGGCCTGAAAAGCTTCTATGGAGAAATCTGCTCATAGTCTTATGGGGGTTCCCTTGTATCTAACTTTTTTCTCTAGCTGCTTTTAAAATTCTTTGACTTTTGACAATTACAACATCTTTTTATAGCTTTGTTTGGGTTTAGCCTGTTTAGAGCCTCCTGGATCTAGAGGTCTATTTCTCTCCCCAAGTTTGGGAAGTTTTCAGGCATCATTGCTTGAAATATACTCTATGTCCCTTTCTCATCTTCTGGAATTCCCCTAATGCAAATACTGCTTCTTTTCATTATGTCCCATTGCAGTCTTTAGTATTTTTCTGTTTTGTTCCTCTGGGTAATTTCCAATGTCCTGTCCTCCAGGTTGCTGATTAGTTCTTCTACATGGTCAACTCTGCTTTTGAAGCTCTGCTACATTTTTCAGTTAGTTTCTGGTGGTTTTTTGTTTTTTTGGTTTTTTAATGGTGTCTATTTTAGTTGAACTTAATTTCATTTAGTTGTCTATATGTGCTTGTAGTTCACTAAACTGAAGAGGATTGTTCTGAATTCTTTGTCCCACAGTTCATAGATCTTCATTTAGTCAGAGCTTTAATTTCCTTTGGTGTTGTATTTACCTGGTTTTCTGTGATCCTCATGTGAGCCTAGAGGATGGACTTCACTGTTGCCTGGATTCTCTGGTTAGGCTTTCTATACAGTCAGGACTGGCCTCTCTGTGAGTCTTCCCAGACTGTTGTTTGGAGATGCAAATTAGGCAAGAGTGAAGACTGACTATCCTAGTTAGATGAGGCCACTAGTTTTGCTGTGTAGATGGGAAGCCACGCACTGTGTGCTCTATTCTAGTGCCACTGTAAGCAGGGCTGTAGGATGGGCTCTACAGCTTCCTGCATGTTCTGCTTAGATAAAAAGTAGTTTTCCTGCCCTGGCACAATGGGAAAAGCAACTGTAAGGCCAGTCATATTTTTTTTGTGGTCTTGACTCAAGCCAACCTGTCCCTAAGTTTCCTGGTGAAATAAGGCCATTGGCTTTTGCTGTGGGGGGCCTCCAGCTCTGTCCACGCCCCTTTCTGCTAGAGTTGCAGGGTCATGCAACTTCCAGGTGTTGTAGTGAGCCCTTGCTGTCTGATGGGCCTGGGGGCCATGCTCTTCAGCTGTTTGGGCTAGGACTCAGGTCTGCTACCTGGGCAGCCCAACTTCAGGGACCTCCCAGATTTTTCTGAACAAGCTTTCTGGATGTGAGGCAGCAAGGGCCAGGAACTGCAGCAGGAAGGGGGGGCTGTGACTCAGCTTTTCTGTCTGTCTGTTAATATTCCAGTGCCAGTTCCTAGAAGCCCTCCCCACTTAGTCACAATCAGATTCCCAGTAATTGAGCCCCACAAAGCGACAACTTACAATGCTGGATGTCACCCCTGTGCTCTTTTCCTTCTGGAGGAACCATAGGTTGCACATGGTGTTATGCCAACCTGGGTGGGGGGCCATGCAGTCAGCACGTAGCCTTCCCACTTAGCCTTCTGGTACAGTATCTTGGTCTCGGTGGTGGAGGGAGGTGCTTCAGCCTCACTGTGCTCTTCTAGGATTCCCTCAGTGGTTTCTTGTTCATGAATAGTTCTTCCTGTGGGGGGAGCCTAAGTCAGGAACACCCTTTGTCACCATTTTGGTGAGGTCACTCTCCCTACCCCTTCTTTCTTAATCTGTGGGGATTTTTGTTGACTCACAAGCCTAGTCATGGCCTGATGGGGGACCTGAGAAGGTGAGGGGTGCAGACCTGTGACAGGCTCCGTGTGCTGGCTTGCAGGTGACCCTGTGGAAGGAATCCGTTGATGGGCAGTGGGTGTGCATCAGTGATGTCAACAAGGGCCAGGGTTCCGTGTCTGCTTCCGTCACAGAGGGCCAGCAGAATGAGCAGTGACAAGACAGGCAAGGCCCAGCACCCCACCTGCTGACTCCAGGACTGCCCTTTCCTGGACCAACTGACCAAATAGCTGGGAGGAACAGCTCCAACACGATTACTTTCCCAGGAGTAGTACAAATGCAACCAGATTGATCATCTGCCTTAACATGATTTGATATGGTTTGTAATTTACTGTCCTGCTGAAAGCATTCATGTTATGAGGAAAAAAGCTACAAATGATCTTCAAATCTATTATTTTAAAATATTTTTGGCCATTTTTATGTACCCTTTGGGTTCAGGCATTATTTGGGGGATTTTGTTTCCAAAAAAATAAATTCATATTGCTTATAATTCTTCCTGCATTACCCTAACCCCTCCCTTAAAAGCTTATTTTCATTCTCATTGCAAGATCAGTGTACTAGAACAACGTTCGCCAAGACCCAGGTCCCTTAGCACCCCCCCCGACACACAAAAATTTGGTCTGTGCCTGTAACATGCCCATGATTCCAGTTATACTGAAGCGGCCATACAGAGGGACAAGAAAGGGATGCCAGATGTGGACTTCGGTGACAGGGCTTGTATCCTCTGAGCACACATCCTCTTCTGGAGAATGGGAATAAAAGTCTGCTTTACAGAGAAGACTCAGATGAACTACTGCACGTGGGTGACCCATAAAATGTCATGCCAATGGAAGGCAGTATTAACCAAATAGCAAGAGACTGGCCCAGAAAGTGGGCATGCTTTATTCATGTTATGGACCCAGTCAGTGAGGGCGGGGCCTGTGCTGGAGACCATGGTTCTGGTCCTGCTCAAGGCTGAACCAAGTATCACCGCTTAGCAGAGGCCCTGGGACCCTCACCTGAATCAGCAGCCGCCAGTTACTGAGGCCTATTGAAGCCGGCACTGCACTAGAGACCCTGCACATTGGGCAACACAACAGACTGGTGCAGGTGTATGTCCCCGATTTACCAGTAAGAAGATAGAAGACCTGCCCAGGGTTGTCCACTGCCAAGTGGTAAAGCCACTATTTGAGTCCTGATCTGGCTCAACTCCAGAGTGGCTGCTGTCAAAGGCAGAACTCGGAAGGGGGTGTGTGGAGGCTTCTCAACTATAATCTGGGGTGGTGCTCACAGCAGACCTTTATATGAACGCACTTAGCTTTGCAAAAGGTCAGACCACTCACTTCAGGAGGTTATGTGCACAAGGGAATGTGGACCCCAGTTCTTCTACCTGCTCCTCATCCTTCATTTTTCAGCAGTAAAACCCGTTTTAAAATAAATATTAGGTCATAATGCATAAAATGGGAAAAGGTGGAACGACTATCCTTGAAGTAAGGCTAGAGAGGCCAGAGCCCTGCCTCTCGGCCTCCCACACTGTTCTGCACAATCCAGGCCTTTGGAGAACAGTATGGGAACTTTCTTACTCTGTCCAGTAGGTTCTAGCTTAGCTTGGACAGTGCTTCTGTCCATTTATTTGGATGAGAAAACACCCACACAGGCACCTTTGCATACACTTCTCAGTGGACAACTACTACCTTTAGTTCTGGTTAGCTCTTCACATGTCTACCTTCCCTAACAAGCTCTGTGCTCCCCCAAGAACAGGCCTGGTATTCCTGATGGTGCCTGCTACCCTCAACAAATAATGAGAAGCAACTAATCCTGTGTCACACAGTGGGTTGGTGATAGGATAGTGGGCTCCTGGCCATATGCTGTTGGTAGCTCACACCACCAAGATCAGTTAGGGTAATCTGGAGGTAAATGAATATTAAGGTAAACCCTTTATAGTTTATCCTTAGAGTGGTAACACGTTAGCCATTCCTGGAGTGAGATCCCTCAAATTTGTTACCACTAAATAGGCTAATCAAGTGGAAATACCATGTGTCAATCTTCAAGGGCATTTGACAAGCCCAAGTGATACAAGTGTAAAGGTAATTTAGAGAGGGTAAGAGAGCAGTAGCAACCACAATGTTTTTTAATCCTTTCACAAAAACAAAGCAACTGGGATAGGAAATGAAACCCCTAGACATTAAGGTAGTCCCTCAAACCCTAGAACGTGGAGGATTAGGGCCAAACCATATCTATAATACCTGTGTAGGAGCAGCATAGGCAAGAAAGAGGGGAGCTTTTATGGTCCTATGAGCCAGGTAACCCAAGAATGACCAAGTATTCATCCATTCAGAACAGAAACCTCAACAAGCCAATGTGAGAACTGTCAAAACTAGAAGATTCACAGGCTCTCACGAGTGATTTCTAAAAGATTTCCACTGCCACGCATGAAGGAGTAGTAGCTATAAGAGTTTCCCTTACACCACAAACAACTAGAGAAACAATATACATGAAACAAATGCTTATGGGCATAGGACAACAGACAGTGTTGGGGTAAGGGAAACAAGTGAGGGGAGTACCAGTTGCCCCAGCTTATTGCCTAGGAGCAGCTACCAGGCCAAAGGGCAGGGAGACAATCCAGAGTCTAGTGGTCAAGTTGAAGAGACAGAGGTCAGAGTCCAGAAAGCTAAGCTAGAACCTACTGGACAGAGTCCTGGAGAAAAGGGAGCTGCTCAGACCAAGCTCCTTAGATCTGTGGAAGCATCTCCTACAGTCTGACCCTAACCTGCATACATGAAAGGCAAAACTCTTCATGACCAGAAACCAACAGACCACACAATTCTTGAACTCACAGAGGGAATAGTTCATGTGCCCAAGATCCAGAGTGCAACAACTTCAGAATACACAGAGCATTGGGTAGAGTCCTAAGAAAGATCATGTCTTAATAATACATCTTAAATTAGGTCTAGATTAGAGGCTCCTCTGGACCATAAAACCAAGCCTTAAGGTCCACAATAATTTCACTTTGTGTCAGGTCAGAGCCCAACACTCTTTTAAAGGAAAAAAAGTAAGCACCTGAAAACATAAAACTCACATAACATCCAGCTTCGAATCCAAAATTACCAGGTGTGCGAAGCAGCAAGAAAATGGGACCATAACCAGAAAAGAAAAAAAAAATGATACAGAAATGAGACCATGAGATTAGCAGGTAAAGACCTTAAAAACAGCTATTATATGTTCAAGAATGTAAAGGAACAGGAACACAAGAAAAATGATACCAAAAAGTTGCAAATGGAATTTCTAGAAATGAAAAATTCAGTATCTAAAGTGAAAAAATATGGGAGTAAGAGCAGGCAGACACTGCAGCAGGACAGATCAGTAAGTCTGAAGACAGCAGCAATAAAAACTATACAAACTGAAGCACTAGAGAAAAAGAGACTAAAACAAACCGATCAACAGACCTGTGGGACACTATCAAGTAGTCTAAAGTATGTGTAAGTTGGAGTCCCAAGGAGGAAAAAAAAAAAAAATTTAAGGGGAGAAGGGGACAGAAAAAAATATCTGAAGAAAAAAACAGCTAAAATTTTTCCAAGCTGGATTAAAATTATAACCCTACAGATTCAAGAAAATCAGAGAAGCCCAAGCAGAACACTAAACATACATACAGACCCCATAAAATTGCTGAAATAAAAATTATAAAATCAGCCAGAGAAAAAGACATACTACATACAGAGAAACAAATATAAGAATGGCAGCCAGCTTCTCATCAGAAATTTTGCAAGCCATAAGAAAATAAATGTCTTTGAAGTGGTGAAAGGAAAAAAAAAAAACATCAGCCTACAATTCTATAGCTAGTGAAAACTTCAAAAATAAAAGTGAAATAAGGAATTTTTTAAATTAAAGCCAAAAAAATAGTCACCAGGAGAACTGCATTACAAGAAATGTCAAAGGAAGTTCTTCAGGCAAAATAGTATCAGATAAAAATTTGGATCTATACCAAGGAATAAGGAGCACCAGGAATAGAAAAAAAATCTGGGTAACTATTACACTTCTTTTCCATTTCTTTTATCTCTCAAAAAATATTTTAAGTGCATTGTGGGGCTTACAACTTACATAGAAATAAAATCAGTAATAACAATAGCACAAATAATGGAAATGGGGAAATTGGAAATTTTCTGTTGTAAGGGTCTTATAGTATCTATGAAGTGTTATATTTGTTGAAGGTATACTGTATTATGTTGAAATTGTATTTTTAAATCCTAGGTCAACACCTAAAGAATAAAGCAGAGGGGTGCCTGGGTGGCTCAGTCGTTAAGCGTCTGCCTTCGGCTGGGATCGAGCCCCG